TTTGCTGAGTCTTTTGGGTTTTCTATGTATAGGATCATGTCATCAACAAAGAGGGATATTTTGACTTCTTCCTTACCTATTTGGATACATTTGATTTCTCTTTCTTGCCTTATTGCCCTGCTTAGGACTTCCAATACAATGTTGAATAGAAGTGGTGATAGAGGGCATCCTTGTCTGGATCCTGTTCACAAGGGGAATGGTTTCAGTCTCTCTGCATTGAGAATAATGTTGGCTGCATTATTGTCCTTTATTTTTGCATATATGTCCTTTATTATGTTGAGGAATGTCCCTTCTATTCCTATTTTGCAGAGAGTTTTTATCAGGAATGGGTGTTGGTCCTTGATGATTTTTATGTATATATTAATTAAAATCAACTTACCCTTTTGGCATTATCTTTTTCTTCTGGTTCCTGTTGAGAAGAGATACATATGATTCTTAGAAACATTATATATTTATATAACATATAAAATATGAGACTGGAATTGATTAGACATATGTTGCTCTAAAAATAACATGAGAAATTAATTAAATACTGCTTGTGAATAATTAGAGGTGTGGACAAAGATCTTACTGTATCATTATTGTTGTTGTTATTGTTAGGTACCATTGAATTCCTTTCGACTCATAGCAACTCTGTGTACAACAGAACAAAACACTGTCTGGTCTTGTGACATCCTCATAATCCTTGCTATGCTTGAGTCCATCGTTGCAGCCACTGTGTCAATCCATCTTGTTGAGGGTCTTCCTCTTTTTGTTGACCCTCTAAATTACCAAGAATGATATCCTTCTTTAGAGGCTGGGCCCTTCCAACAATAGGACCAAAGTTTGAGAGACAAAGTCTGGCCATTCTTGCTTCTAAGGAGCATACCCGTACTTCCTCCAAGACAGATTTGTTCTTCTAGTAGTTCACAGTTATTCAATATTCTTTGCCAACACCATAATTAAAATGCATCAGTTCTTTTTCAGTCTTCCTTATTCATGATCCAGCTTTCACATGCATATGAAGCTATGGAAAACAGCATGACTTCAAAGTGATATCTTTGTTTTTTAACACTTTGTTCTTTTGCCACAGATTTGCCCAGTGCAATACATACATTGTTCGATTTCATGACTGCTGCTCCCATGGACACTGGTTATGGATCCAAATAAATGACATCCCTGACAACTTCAATCTTTTCTCTATTTATCATGATGTTGCTTATTGATCCAACTGTGAGGGTTTTTGTTTTCTTTATGTTGAGGTGTAATCCATACTGAAGGCTGTAGTCTTTAATATTCATCAGTAGTGCTTCAAGTTTTCTTCATTTGCAGCAAGGAAATTTGTACCATCTACATATCATAGGTTGTTAATGAGTCTTCCTTCCAGACAAGTGGTGGATCATTATTCTTAAGAGCTAAAAATTGGAAACATCCTGAATGTTTCACAGTGATGAAATGGGAAATAATGATATAACCACATGACAAAACAGAGAAAAAGACTAGAAGGAATCACAGCAAAATATCAGCAGTTATTAATATTATGGGTTATTTTTTTCTTCTGTTAATTTTCCATACTCCTCTCACAATCCAAACACCTATTTTTTTATAAAAAGAGTCATATCATTCCTATTTTTTGTTTTTGTTCTTTCTTTTTCTCATTTGCTTTTTATCAAAAAGTAAGGTCATTGTTAAACACCATTTTATACAGCTCCATTTTATTTTCATTATGAGAAAAAGTCAATTGATTTTTTGGGGGGGAGAAATTCATCAGTAAAAAGCATTGGGAAAATATAGTTGTAAATATATTATTTACTTTCAGAAATCATGTATGCTTTCAAACTGTCAGGGTTTCTTTGAATTACTGTATATGAAAAGTATGGAAGTCAGAGTCATAGGTAAAATTAGAATTGCTAATGACAAGTATAATTCTGAACCTGAGGCTCTTACTCCTTAATAGGGGAGTTTTAAAATATGTTCACTTATAAGACACAGAATGTAAAATGAGATGTGGTACATGATATCATTTTTCAAGTTCCTATCTATCCTCACTTCAGGACAAAAGTTTCTTCAAAGAATCAAATGATTTTACCAAGAAACCAAGACAACACAGTCAAAATATAATTTTCAAACCAACATTGACAATACAGTTTACTTCAATTTGCATTCTTTATGTCCTTCTCTCTATAAAAGTACAATGACTTATCCTCAGAGCCATCAGATATGCTTAGCAAATTAGAAAGATGTGTCTGTTCTCCACTTGTGGGATAAGTCAGGGAGAACAATAAAGCCAGCATGACCCCAAATTTCCCTCATCAGAAATAGAACACATCTTATAATTGAGAGGTCATAGGATTTCCCAATTAGATAACTATAAACTGCATTAATATGACCTTAAATTCTCAGTTGTCAGAGACACTGCAGTATATATTTCTTATTTAAAATCAACATATCATCTCCTAAATTCCTCTTAGCATGTTCCTAAATTGTACATCTTTTCTCTCAGGAGGAATTCCAAGAAATTATTGAGCAGTCTTTGCATATGAACAAAATATTATTTTAATCTTACCTGAAGCTTTGGTAGAATCCCTGAAATCATAAAGCAAAGCTCCTCCAGTGCCTTGGATGCCTAATGGACATGAGAAGATACATGGGCCATGCTTCTCGTTTCACATTTGTATAGAGCATTGTTGTTGTTGTTGTTATGTGCCGTCGAGTCAGCCCTGACTCATAGCGACCCCTCCTTGGGTTTCCGAGGCAGTATCACTACGGAAGTAGGATTGCCCAACCTTCCTTCCGAGAAGTGGCTGGTGGGTTTGAACCGCCAGCCTTCTGGTTAGCAGTCAAGTGCCTTAGCCACTATGCTACCAGAGCTCCTTGTATAGAGCATATAACTATGGAATGTTAGGAGCACAGGATGTCTCAACTACCAGAATAGAAACCTTCTTGTGGTCCATTGAAACTCTGTTAGAATCCTTTGATTTATCTTATGATGAAAACTTGGCTGTTAAAAGTAAACCCTCCTTTCGACCAGAAAAAATGCTATGTACTGTATATATGCATCGATTAAGGATTCCACTGTAGTTTAGTTACATAGTTTTTAGTATTTACTAAGATTTCATGAAATTCTATGAATGAGTAATCAGAGCAGTGCCAAAAGAGGTTTGTAGCAAGGTCTGCATCTACATGCCAATGCCGCGAGCCTGGATAAATATTACTCATTATTGGCTAATCTGAGAATCCTGCAATTGCTTGTGAACAATGGAAATTTGAAGAGGAAGAAGCCCTGCGTGGTGCACCTAATCTGAGTACCACCCTTCCAGGCTGCTGACTGCACACCCAAGGATCAGGTTTTTCAAAGCATTTGAGTGACAAAGTAGGGCAGAGCTCCTTTTGGTTAGCAGCCAGCTGGGTGTGGCGAGGAGCAGCACAAATGGACAAGCAGGGGCGAAACCAGCTTTTGCACAGCATTCAGCATGGTAGTCCCATGGACAATTGATTACTTACTAAATGCATTTTGGAAGTGATGAGGAGCTGGAACAGTGGGGCGAGCAATATAATTAGTGGTTAAAATTATGGGCTAACGAGTTGGACAGCCTGCCCTTCTGTTGTTGTTGTTGTTGTTATTTGCCATTGAGTCATTCCTTTCTACTATTTTTCAGCTGTGCTACCTTGGGCTGGCTACCTAACCTCTCTAGACTTCAGTTTCTTCAGCCATAAATCAGAGATCACAACATCACTGCAGAGAGTTCTTGGAAGGATTATATGTGGACAAAGTTCTCAGCACAGTGCCAGGTACATAGCAATTAGTTAACAATAGTTGCATTAAAGAATGTGTGACCTGTAAAGTTTAATTTACAGCTGCAAGCACTCTTAACTTAGAAGATACACCACCTGAAGAGTGGAAAGGATCACCTATACTCTCACACTTTGAACACCATGCTTGGCTTAACATGTTTGGCTGTGGTTAGGGATAGAGGTGGAGTCATGAAATAGTTTCTCTGTGTATCTTTCTCGACATCATAGGTCTGCTTTGTTCTTTTTCATTTGTTTGCCTGCCATGAAATGGTTGGGATATTGATTAACAATATCAAATAGCACATATTTGTGTAGTACTTCAATAAAGGACAAGCACTTTCATATACATAATTCCACTCTGTACTTACAGCACAGCTGTGAGATAAATAGGGCAGAAATTATTATTCCCATGTATAGTGGGCAGAAATGAGGCTATAAGACATGGAGTCACTTGCCCAATACTACATGGCTCATAGTTGGTAGAGTGTGGCCTAGGAACTAGGTTCTCTGGCCTGTAGATATTCCCTTGGAATTGACTGTTTAACCTATTTTGGGAGTTGGATGAAAAAAAAAGTAAAGTGTGAATACTGAGACATCCTTTCTCACATTTTCCTTATCAGGGATTGGTACATAGGTCATTCTATAAAAATCTGGAAATAAACCCTTTCAATCTTCTTTTACAGCCCATCTAGAAATGCTGCAAAATACAACAATAAAAAGGAAATATCTAGTGATGTCATGTGTCAAAAGATGTAGCTCCTAACTCAAAGAAGAATAAATTCAGAAATAAGATTTTCTCCTTAGAAAATAGCTTCTAAACAAGGTGAGGCTTGGGCAACAAACAAAAGACTATTTAAATGAATGCATTTTCCCAGCTCTTTTCTACAAAAAGCCTTTGTTCATTGAGCTACAACTATTCTTTAAAGCTTTTTCTTATACTAAAGATTTAATATTTTACTTGTAATGGGCCTTTAGTTTTCTTTTTGATAAAAAATATTTTAAAGCATTGTTCAGATAATCACATAAATAATAATACAATATTGAATACACCACGGACTGTCAGAAAAACAGACACATGTCTTGGAGGAAGTACAGCCAGAATGCTCTTTGGAAGCGAAAATGGTCAGACTTCGTCTCACCTACTTTGGTCATGTTGTCAAAAGGGACCATTCCCTGGAAAAGGATTATTATGCTTGGTAAAGTGGAGGGTCATTGAAAAATAGGAAGACCCTCAATGAGGTGGATTGACACAGTTGCTGCAATGATGGGCTCAAGCATAGCAATGATTGTGAGGGTGGCACAGGACTGGGCAGTGTTTTGTTGTACACAGGGTCGCTATGAGTTGGAACCCACTCAACGGCACCTGACAAAATAACACTATAGCGGAAATAACAGTGATTCTGGGGTGTTCCTGAATTTTAAATAAAATGTTAAAGCTTGTATGGTGATTAATGTCCATCACACATTATGTATCAGTCAATATTCTTTGAATAATTTAAAATATTCTTTATAAATGTCATCTATTTTGATCCTGGTATTTCTTTCCCATATAATGGCCCTAAACTTTCTCCAACTGATTCTCTGCAGATTGGAAAATGGGTTAAGGGACGACAAATACAGCAGACTACACAGGCCAGGACAGGAACAGATACATGCACAGCCATGTTTATCGCAGCCCTATTTACAATAGCAAAAAGGTGGAAACAACCTAGGTGCCCATCAATAGAAGAACAGGTAAGCAAACTATGGTACATACAGACAATGGAATACCATGCAACACTAAAGAATGAGGTAGAATCTGCAAAACACCGCATAATGTGGATGAACTTGGAGGACACTATGCTAAGTGAAGTAAGTCAATCACAGAAGGACAAATATTGTATTAGGTCATTATTGTAAGAAGTCAAGGAAAGGTTTATATATGCTTCTCCACAATAACCAGATGACACTTTGGAAGGACTGTGTGAGTAAATAGCCAGGGCTTCTTGGCCAGACCTTGTAGGGGGTATACAGCTGATTGCTCTGGAAAGGGTAGAGCACTCTTTGTCCAGGAGACTGGTGGTAGAAAAGTCAAGGCACTAAGACAAACTCTGTTCTACCTGCACTCAGAGACAGAGCTGCAGACAGAAGCAGCATCTTCCAATAAGGATCATACAAGGAGGAAACAGTCCTCTTGTTTCCATGGAGAGGAGCTAGACTAAATCATGGCCTCCTCCCCAGCCCTCCCTTAGCTCTTCCGTATGGGAAGAGAAGTGAGTTTTCTAATAGGTAAATTGGGAGAAGGAAATTGAGCATGCTTAATCCAGTCCTTTCCTCTTTTGGAGTCTGCTGTCTGGTCTGAAGTTCTTATCCAGTCTCTGCCCTGTAGCATAGAACTTGACTCTGGTGGAAGGCCCAGAGTCATTGTCTGACTCTCATAAGAAGGCTTAATTTTGGGAGTAGTTTTAACAGACACGTTTGGCATTAGAACTAAAGCCACATTCGCCAAATGACTTTTCAATTACAATGATGATACTTTAATCTCCATAAGTCTGACTCCATAAATATTTTTTTTCGATGGATTTCAGATTCAGTAGGGTGAGAGGAATACTAGCTAGAAAATACAGCAATATACACATTATCTATAACCTAACACAAAATTCAATTTTGTAATTAGCATTTTAATCTGATATTCCACAATATGTATATATTATCTGCAACTCTATTTTATTTAGAGATAAAAGTTTACAATGTACGCCCATAGAATTTTTAGTGCCTGAAGATGCTATAATTTAATATGTTTACATATTTTAATAAATCGATAAGTGATGACAGGTCCAAATGGAGAAGTGAGTATTTCAGCATTACACAAATGCCTACATTACTACAAAGCACCTCCAACTGGAATTACCTGAGACTGAGACTCAGTGAACAGGAAAGATGAACAAGCATCCGCTATCTGCAGAAAACAAAAATGCCAGTTACTCCATCAATACGTGAATGGGCTAACAAAATGTGCTATATGCATTCAATGGAATACTACTCAACTATAAAGACAATGAAGGCCTGATGCATGCCACAGCATGGATGAACCTTGAAAACATTTATGCTGAGCAAAATGAATCAGTTGCAAAAGGACAAATACCATATATATAACTTAGATGAAATAAGCAAATACTGTATATAGAAAAAAACCTAAAACCAAACCCATTACCATCGAGTCGATTCTGACTCATGGTGACCCTACAGGACAGAGTAGAACAGCCCCATAGAGTTTCCAAGGCTGTATTCTTTGTAGAAGCAGACTGCCACATCTTTCTTCAATGGAGTGGCTGGTGGGTTCAAACTGGTAAGCATTTGGACTGAGTGCTTAACCACTGTGCCACCAGGGCTCTTTAAATATATAGAAACAAAAGTTTATTAGTAGTAGTTACCAAAGGTGGGAAGAAGAGGTAAAGGAGACTTTTTATTTAAGGCATCATTGAGTTTATGTTACAGTGTTGGAATGATTTAGAGAAGGGTAGCGATAATTGTTGTACAACTTGGAGAACATAATCAATGTCACCGAATTGTCCATGTAGAAATTGTTGAGATGCATATGTTTTGTTGTGTCTATTTTCACTTCAGTTTTTACAAAGTGACATGTACATCCTGGGAACAGACAGACAATCGACAGAATGAGGCTTTATTAATTTAGTAGCATTTCAAAGTAAAATGATTTAGCATTAATTGAAGTTCCATGACAGCTTAGGACCCTTAACTTTGGAATGGACCTTCTTAAACTTTCTAAAAACATCCGGGAGTTGGGATTTCCCAAAGATTTGCCCCTAGCAACATGGCTAGACCTCCAAGAACAATGATAAGGATCATCAGAGAGTAAAAAGACGGAAAAACCTTTGGGTATTATTCAGCCTGAAAGATGAGAGGCGACTAAAGAATGGCTTCAGAATTAAGAAGCACCTTGTTACCATGCAGTTTTAATTACATGTGAATCTAATCATATCATCTAAATTAACATGACTGGATACAATAAAAACTTTTACACAACATGAGCAATGTATGAATTATGTACCATGGAACCAGCATTACAAAAGAGTTCTACTTTATGATGATCTAGTTGGCAACTAGGAGCCCTGGTAGCATAGTGCCTAAGGCACTTGACTGCTAACCAGAAGGCTGGTGGTTCAAACCCACCAGCTACTCCTCTGAAGGAAGATGGGTCAATCTACTTCCGTAGTGATACTGTCTCGGCAACCCAAGGAGGGGTCGCTATGAGTTGGGTCCATCTCGACAGCACATAACAACAACAGTTGGCAACTAGCTGTTCGCATTATTTATCCTAAAAAGAAAACTTGCCAGACAGACTTTAAACTGTAGTATAATAGATTTATATTAATCATTAAAAACAAAAACAAAACACAAAACCAACTGTGCTGAAAAGCTAAGCACTAAGTTAGATGTATGGAGTTGTTTTATGGCATTTTTTTTTTTTTTGGAGACCTTTAAAAATGAGACTGAAAAAAAAAAAGAACTGATCCTTGTTTGTCTGGGATGATTTAGGTTGAGACCCTTTTATGGCATAATGTTTTGGGAGCCCCTTCCAGTCCCCAAATTCTTTCGTTTGGCAATGTAGTTTCCATTTCCACACCAAACTGAGAGGGGGATTATTACAATCTTCAGTCATAATTCCCCAAGTTTCTTATTGCTTAATGCTTCTTATTCCAAGTTGAACACACCCTACAATGCATGGTCTTCCAATTTTGAGAATAACAGTAACAAAAGTATAGAAAGTTATAGAGAAGCAGAAGCTTATGTCTCCCTTCTTTTTATCTTCACAGAACAGGCTATCTTCTCTATATATCACAAATACTTTTGAAATTGTTTTATTCTATTCATTTCCTGTACCTATCCTCCTATTCCCTCTTCCATGCCACACAAGTCCAGAATTATAGACACAAAGACACACATGTGTGCAAACACACAGAGTGGTAAATTTCTTGAGGGCAAGGACTATACCATATTTAACTGAAGTAAAATAAGTCTTCAGTAAATATGCTTTAACTAAACTGAATTGAACTTGTGGAGGGAAATAAAAAGAAAATAGGGGAAAGCCCAAATATATCCTTTTGAGCTTTGAATGTTGACCAATGCTAAATACATCACCTCCAGAAGTCATCTTCTTCATTCTAGTAGAGTAGAAGGATGTGATTCCTTCTGAAAGGTCTGTGGCTCTTGGTATCTGAAGACATTACAAGCTTAGGAGGAAAGCCATCCACCCACAGACCAGGGTGCCCATCTCTGCTGAGGTGCCTCACTGTCTGAGAGAACTCTTGAGCCTCTGCACTAGCTAATCAGTGCATCAACATGTCTCATGTTTGAATAAAAACATCAGAATTAAAAGAAACTTTCAAATTAGGAGATGATTGCAAGGCTTTTCAGTCTTTTTTGTTTGTTTGTTTGTGTGTTTGAAAGGCACAGCAACACTGATCACCCAGTTTCCATTTAAGCACTTGTTTATTTCACTCGACTAAAAGCCCTAATAGGAGCTCTGGTAGCGTAGTGCCTAAGGCACTTGACTGCTAACCAAAAGGCTGGCGGTTCAAACCCACCAGCCACTCCTTGGAAGGAAGGTCGGGCAATCTACTCCTGTAGTGATACTACCTCAGAAACCCAAGGAGGGGTCGCTATGAGTCAGGTCCAACTCAACAGCACGTAACAACAAGAACAACAACAAATCCCTAATGGTTCTGAGTGCCATTAAATGCTTTTGAAAGCTCTGTATAGTCTATTGGTGAACTTGTTTGAAAATGGTTAAGTCTCTATATATGGTTTGAAAAGTATGTGTTTCCAAGTAGCTCTGTCATAGGAAGAAGGAAGAAGGAAGAGGCCGTCCACTTCTGAAAGAATTGGCCAGGGAAAACCTTATGAATAGCAAAGAAACACTGTTTGGTACATTACCGCGCAACTTTAGGAATAGTCCGTTTAGGCTAAAAGGCTC